AGATGAAGATGAAGATGAAGATGAAGATGAAGATGAAGATGAAGATGTAGATGAAGATGAGAATGAAGATGATGATGAAGAATAAGATGAAGGTAAAGATGACGATAGAGATAAATATAAATATAAAGGTGAAGAGATGAAGATTGATTTTATTGGGAATATGTATCACAATAGCTATGGGTATCAGACGAAAGAGTTTAAGGAGGTTGTCATCTCTTTTAAGAGTTAAATCAAAATTATTTAATAATTTGAATGAATTATTACAATATGGGTATCAAGCAAAATGGTTTTGAAGAAGCTTTATTTCTAAAGTAAATGTTAGGGAAATGCCACCTGTTCAAAAACATCCATTGAATTAAGGGAATAAAGTAATTAAAAATAAATCACAAGAAAGAGGTTTAACAAGGTCTTTGTTTGAAGATATGTTGAAAAGGGTTAAAAAATGTGAAAATCTCCTGTGTTTTTGGCTGTGTTTAAGTACATATGGGTATTTCCATAGGTCGCATACGTGACAGTCGTACGTTTCAATATGATACAAACAAGGAATACCATGTGCTTTCTTTAACTTTTTTGGGCCATTGTATAGCACATAATTAGCTCTATATTTAACCGAAAAATGAAAACAATCGAATTGCTTGGTCCTGAAATACATAAAACATGTATTTTGTGTAGAATATACTTTATATTTTGACTTCAGCGCCAATTCAGGGTGAATTTGTTGGAAATCTATGACTTATTATGTTTCAACTACATACGTCAAATTCGAACCAAATCGGACCTTAAATACGGTTTTTCGAAATATCTCAACCTTGGCGTCACCTAGGTAGACCATTTTACGCAAACATGATGCTCGCCAAAACTTGACTATCGTAAGTTGCCAGTTTTTACTCGTTTTACGTTGAATAACTTTTTCTGGTAATTTTTTGTTCCTATCGATTTTGGTTTACGCTCTCGCTGGTAATATGTACATACATAGGTACTTACCCATTTTTGCAATTCCAAGAACATTGCATGCCAAACATTAAACTGGCTGTCACTTTTGTAAAAGTAAAATATGACACTTACATACATTCAAACAACTAACTACAATAGTAAAATTACACAAAATGTATTCCTGACACTAATCACGAAACAATTACCATAAATATCACCTCAGGGAACATGGTAATAGATTATCAACAAAGTCCGACAGTCTTTGATAGTCGAGC